TTGGGTCGTGTATCCCATCTCCACATTCCTCCACCACATGACCCATACATCCACAAAAGAAGCAGAAGTCCGACAAGTTCTCATAGTATACGTGATATTTTTTCCTTTCCTTCAAGGTAATTGGGACAAATCTCACTAAGGGTATATTGACATGCACAAAACACTCTGACTCTCAGATAACTTGATGGATTGATCTTCCCTTCATTGACTGTCACCGTAAACGGAGGCTCTCCTACCTTTTTTGCCACCTTCTCCGCCAACTCTTTCTTTCTGGTTAAGCCATCAGGAAGGCCTTTGATCCTTGCCCATAACAGGTACATGTTTAGCGAGTAGTCACACACATTGGTAAACCCATCATATTCTACTAGAACCACTAGATCTCAACGGAACTGCCATGGCCCCCCTTCCATCACGCACTTCCAATCTCCCAAACAATGGCACTGTGCCAAGAACAAGTTTGGTCCTTTAATGTTGAAAGTGACCCCTGAGCGCAAGCCCACACGTTCTTCATGGAATTTAACAGTGCAACATGGATAAACGGGCGCAATGTATGAACCCTAAAGAGAGCTAGCCATCTGACGTCTTTGATCAAATCATCAACCTCACCCGACAGGTCTAGATCCTCCTCCTCCTCTCTGCAGATTTGGGCCTGCAAAAACATCTTCTAAACTCGGAACTGGAGCATAACGATCCCAATAGGCATCTTCACCTTCCTCTCGATCTGCATCAGTATTTTTTACTTCCTCGCCGCCCTCCTGACCCTCCGCCATCGAAGGGTCCCCCGAAGTTTGCCCCTCATCCAACCCCTTCATCTTCTGCGCTTCTCCCTCCACCTGAATTCCCTTCGTCCCCCTCCACCATCAGACTTCCTTGGATCCTCCATGTCAATGTCAACCTTGATCGATCGCACTCTAGAGTCACTGATCGCCGGCGGGAGCGCAACAGTTGGCAAAAAAATTACGTGGATATTTGTGGACATCGGCGCCGTCGCCGAAGGACGAGGTAGACCCTAGGAAACCCTAGGGGAAAAACTTACAATGTAGATTAATGTTCATGTGTTGTTGTGGAACAACAAATTTAGACACTTAGATTGATCAAAATATAATTATAATTCACAATGTATACATCGTATGTGACTTGTGATTTGTTACGACAAATAACACCTTATACTTGTAGGCAAATGTATGGGGTGTTCAAACGGGTTATTGGCACTGATCGGTTGCAAGGAGGGGTGTTTCCCGAAGCTGCGATATCACTTTCCCCTCTCTCCCTCTCCTCACACCATCCCCACATGCAGCCGGGGGAAGCCCCATACCTGTCGCCTCTAGCCCCCCTCCCTCCTCCTCCGCCCCTCCTCGCCGTCGCCGGCGCGTGTTGACGGGCAAAGCCCAGTCAGCCTGGGCGGCGTCGGGGTATCTTCTCCTCCTGCCCTCTGGCGGTGCTTGAACCCTATTTTGTAATAGACTACAAAGCCTTGTTATAGACAAATAATAAAATGAATTTAGGTGGGGATAACTACCCCGCTTTGACTTTTTAAAAATGTCTTTTGTTTTTTTTTCTCTGTGATGATATCAAACAAACTAAAATCCTATAGGATTTAAATAGTCATGACATTACAATTCTATTTGTTTTTCCTGTCCTGCATTTTTTAAATCCATTTCTGGATGTCTGAAAAAAAAAGAAATCCATTTTTGAAATCCTGCTAATCAAAGAGTTTCTGGAACTTGTAGTCAGATATTTTTGTTCGGGCCATAGTTAAAAAAAGGTTACCCCTACAACATATACACTCGTCGGCGCCTTCGCGTCGGACGAAAGTCCCCGGGGCCGGCGCCGCCGCCGCGGCCCACCCCTGGTTCGCCCTCGCGCCCGACGACGCCCCCGAGAAGCTCCATCGTCGCGTTCGTCAACCCGCGCAGCGGCGGCCGCCTGGGCCCCGTCTCCATGAGCTCATCGGCGAAGACCAGGTCAAACCATCTCTCTCCCCCTCTCATATTTCGCATTGCGTGGCGCTGCCTGTGACTGTGAGTGAGCCATTTTAGAGGAAAACATACCGCCACTACGTGATGAGATGGTGGTCGTCCGGCGCTACCTGGAGCTGCTGTCGCGGTGCCGCGGCGGCGCCGACGCGCGGCCGATCGCGCGGATCCAGGCGGCCCTGGTCACGTCGGGCCTGCTCCGGCGCAGCGCGGAGCTCCACGGCGCGCTCATCCGGGCGCTTGCCAGCTCCGGGACGCCGCACGCCGCGCTCCCGCTCTACGCCCACCTCATCCGCGCGGGCCTCCTCCCCACCCCGCACACCCTCCCCTCCCTCCTCAAGTCCCTCGCCCTCTCCCCCGCCGTCCCGGGCGCGCGCCGCCTCGCGCTCGCCGTCCACGCCCACGCCGTCAGGCTCGGCCTCACGGGGTTCCTCCTCGTGAACAACGCGCTCATCCGCGTCCACGCGGGCCTGCTAGGGCCGCCTGTCCGACGCGCACCTGCTGCTGCGCGCCTCGGCCGCCGTCGACGCCTCCACGTTCAACACGCTCATCACGGCGCACGCGAGGGCTGGGCGAGTCGCCGACGCCCGCTCCCTGTTTGACGAAATGCCCGAGAAGAATGCTGTGTCCTGGAGTGCCATGGTGAATGGGTACGTGCAGGCTGGGGACGGGAGGGAAGCGCTGAGGGTGTTCTCTCAGATGCAGGCCCAAGGTGTCCGCCCGGACGACACGGTTCTCGTCGGGGTGCTTGCCGCGTGCCCGCAGCTGGGGGCTCTGGAGCAGGGGAAGTGGGTGCATGGTTACCTCAGAGCAAACAATATCAGGATGACCGTGTTCCTGGGCACTGCGTTGGTTGATATGTATGCCAAATGCGGTGAGGTGCAGCTTGGAATGGAGGTGTTTGAGGGAATGAAAGACAAGAATGTACTGGCCTGGACTACCATGATAAAGGGCCTGGCTATGCACGGCCGAGGCTCAGACTCATTGGTGCTCTTCTCCCAGATGGAGAGCTCAGGTGTGAAGCCGGATGACATTGCCTTCATTGGTGCTCTCTGTGCTTGCACACACACTGGGTTGGTTGACAAGGGTCGGCAGCTTTTCAATTCCATGGTGAACAACTATGGTATTAAACCAAAGATTGAGCATTATGGATGCATGGTAGACCTCCTGGCACGGAATGGCCTGCTGAGTGAGGCCAGAGACATGGTTGAGAAAATGCCCATGAAACCGGATGCCTTAATCTGGGGAGCTCTAATGGCTGGTTGTAGGTTTCACAAGAATGTGGAGTTGGCTGAGTATGTTATAAAGCACTGGATTGAATTGGAGCCAGACAAAAGTGGTGCTTATGTACTTTTAGGTAACATATATTCTGCCTCTGGTAGGCATGCTTCTGCGAGGGAAATTAGGCACCTAATGCGTGAGAAGGGAGTTGAGAAGACACCTGGATGTAGCAATGTGGAGATTAACGGAGTTATCCACCAATTCATTGTTGGAGATCTGTCTCATCCGCGCATAAAAGATATTTTGACAAAGTGGTATGAGATAGATAGTAGGATAAGGCTGGAGAGAAGGTTACGTGCCTGATAAGAAAGAGGTTTTGCTTGACATTAAAGAAGAAGAGATGGAAGGTGCACTCAGCCGCCACAGTGAGAAGCTGGCAATAGCATTTGCTTTGATAAGTACAAATGATAATATACCCATTCGGATTGTCAAGAACCTCAGAGTCTGCCAAGATTGCCATCATGTCACCAAACTTATATCCAAAGTATATGGGAGAGAAATTGTTGTTAGAGATCGAACACGTTTCCATTTGTTCAAAGATGGCACCTGTTCGTGCAAGGACTATTGGTAGTAACTGACTAATTTGTCTATTAACAGTGGTACTTGGTCTCAATATAGAGCATGGGCTGTTTAGCACAAAAAAAAATCTCTTTCATGATACATCAGCGATGCATGAGTTGAGGCGATAAAGTTGGTGAACAAAAAAAAAAATCTTGCTAATTACAATGTACATATATGGTATTAGAGAAATTATTGTTAGAGATCGAACACGTTTCCATTTGTATTAAAATGGCACCTGTTCGTGCCAGGATTATTGGTAGTAAGTAATAGAATTATGTATTAACAGCGGTACTTGTCTCATCATAAAGCATGGGCTGTTGAGTACCAAAAAAAAAAAACTCTTTTGTCATACTCCCAAAATATAGCGTGTATTAGTGATGCATGAGTTGAGGGGATAAAGTTTGTGAAGAAAAAAAGTTCTTGCTAATTATAATGTACACATGTAATCATGCTGTTATTAAGTCGCGAATAGATATTCATTTTCGTCTCTGATAAAAATATATATTACAGGGGTATAACCTTGACGATACAATATCATTAATCTGCATTTGGTTTCATGTTGCATTTAGTTCTGAACCATTTTCATATATCAACCTTTTTGGCTTGTGGAATTTCAATATGAATGCTCGTTCTACCGATAATTTTGGTTCAGATTGCTGCAGTCAGCTTCTTAGCTGTATTGCTGATGCTAAGTGTGTTTCTGTTTTAGCCCGGGTATCTCTTCAGGTAGAGAAAACCTCATAGTCAGAGTTCAAGTCGATAAAACAAACCGGCCGTTTCATTTGTTTAGTTGATGGCACTAACTGACATATTTGAGCATCGTGTGTGAAACAAACCAGATAAAATACTATCTCCAAAGAAAATGGATTGATTATATACTCCTATCTGACAAGTGTGTAGCACATAAACATTCGGCATATCTTATTTCCAGGAAAAGAATTAACACACTGCATATTATGTGTAATAATTGTATATACCATAAGGTTGATCAGTGTTGGCAATCCAATGCAACGAAAGGAAGCAGCTAATTAACTTCTGCCACAGAAAAGTGGCTTATTTAAGCTGTCTCATCTAACAAGTACAACCCATATGCATCGTAAAAAAAGTACAACCCATATGCACATGGCATATGTTTTTTCAGGAAGAAAACTGAATACAGTACATAGTAAAAGTGCTCTATTATTACATATGGATCCATGCTTGCTTGCAGATCCATCCTTCCACGCGGCAATACAGTCGCAACAAGAATGACAATGCAAAGCCGACTCCAAATCCCAAGCCAACAAATGCGAAAAAAAGGATAATGCCGAGTTTGTCCTGCCACAAACCCTCAGATTCCGGAGGAGCCACTCCAGTTGGAGAAATTGAACTTTGATTGTCACAGTGTTTGGAGAGTGGAACTCCACAGAGACCTGCATTACCTTCAAATGAACTGTCTGAAAATGTTGAGAACTGGTTTCCTTGCGGGATTCTTCCATACAAGTTGTTGTACGAAAGATTCAACCATTCAAGAGAAGTAAGTGAGGTTAACTCCTGTGGTATTTCCCCTGTTATCTGGTTCCAAGAGAGATCCATTGCTTCCAGCTGAGACAAGTTTCTGTACTGAAATGGAATTTGTCCCATGAAGTTGTTGTATGACATGTTAAGTCCGCGCAGGGCAACAAGCCTCCCAATTGACTCCGGAACAGGACCATCAAATGAGTTATTTGAGAAATCTATTGCATTGAAAGTGCTTAAGATTTTGGTGAAACTAAGATCAAACCCTTTGAATGTTATGGTAACAGTATCTTGATAAAATCGTGCACCTGAATATGTCTCATGTCCTAGAACTTCTCCCCCATCACTGACATTTTCCATCATTGCTTTCAGTTCATTAAACCATCCTTCTGGTAGGTTTCCAGAGAAGTTGTTGGAGGCCAAATCAAGTATTTGCAAATTTGCAAAGTAGTTGTTGATTGTATGATCGCCTTTAAAATCCCTTATGGTGCCGTTTAGTTGGTTGAATCTCAAGACAAGAACTCGAAGACGTGGAAGAACACCCAACCAAGATGGAAAAGAACCGATAATTTGATTGTTACCAACATCAAAGAGTTCTAGGCCTTGGCAATTTGATAGTGATCTGGGTATTTTCCCTTCAATTAGATTGTTGTTCAAATCTATTGTCTGAAGCATACATCCTTCTCCAATATTTTCAGGCAGCATCCCATGGAAACGATTCTCTCTCAATTTCAATGTACTCAAGCTATTGCTACCTTGCATTAGACAGGATGGCACCACACCGCTGAAATTGTTGTATGATAAGTCCAGTATCTCAAGATCTTGTTGGGTACAAATAGACCTTGGTATGTGACCACTTAATTTATTCCTGGACAAATCAAGGTAGGTGGTCTTGTAGGGAAGGTACCGACCAAAGTCATGTATAATAGAAGTGAAGCTATTGTTTGAGTAATCTAAAAAAGCCATGGAATTGCTAGCTGTGAGTGGTATAGGTACACTGCCATGCAGTTTGTTGGAACTAAGATTGAGATATCCTAAATTGTGCATATGAACGACAGATGGAGAGTTTTCAAGGCTAGTGAACATATTGTTTGAGAGGTCCAGCCAGGACATGGTATCCTTCCAATTCACCCAGATCCAACTTGGTATGGCTCCATCTATTTGGTTATGTGAAAGGTCCAACAAAAACAACTCATTTGTATATCTCAATGCGACTGGAATTTTTGTAAGGTAGCAAGACGCTAGTCCTAGTCTTGTGATGTGTGGGATATAAGGAAATGGATAGCCATCCTCAACATCTATGACTGATAACATATTATTGGAGAGCAGCAATATATCCAATGCCTTCACCTTCCAAAGAAGGCTAAGTTCCACTGTGCCTTCAAAGTGATTTGAGTCAAGCATGAGAACTTGAAGTCTCATAAGATCAAAGAAAGATTTGGGTATATGACTTGACAAGTTGTTAGAGCTTATGTCGATGTAGTACAGGAAGGAAGATAAGGGGTCTGGAATATCTTCTAGGGTACCACATAGTTCATTTGATAATAAATTTAGTTTTCCCAATGACGGAAGAGTGAACAAAACCTTTGGGATTTTTCCTGCATGCAGATAGAGAATAGTAGTCAAAGAATAGTAAATACCCCCAAAAAATAATGTTATAATGATGTGATATGAGAAGGAAGGAGGCTGCCTTACCGCTCAGCCTATTATCTTGTAAGCCCAAATTTGTAAGCTTGGTCAAGTTCCCAATCCACGTGGGTATTGCCCCAGATAAATTGCAATCAATGAGCTCTAAGCTCATCAAATTTGTACAATTTCTGATCCACAACGGGATTGGCCCAGATAAATTATAGTCTTGTAGCATCAAGTCTGTCATATGCCTAGCGCTGCCAATCGAAGAGAGCATTGGCTTCTCTATTCCTGATCCCGACAGCCACAATGTATTTAGGGATGTAAGGTTAGCAATGGAAGTAAACGTCTGCCTGGGAGATCCTATGTTGCTAAGGCCCAAGAATTTCAGTGACTTGAGATGAACAAAAGAGTCTGGCATCACACTAGAAAGGTTTGTCTCCTCTAGATCTAAGTGTTCCAAAATATTTTTTCCTGGTGGGAAATCTGGTAGTTGCACGGAAAGTCTGGGGTTGTAGGACACATCAAGATATGTGAGATTTTTTAGCAGGAAGATCTTTGTTGGAAACTGTCCTTGCAAATAATTTGCTGAGAAGACAAAAGAGGTTAAGAAAGAGAATTCTGCGAAGAATGAAGGAATCTCAGAAATACTATTTGCCCTGAGGTTGATTGTTGCTAGAAAATGGAGTCGGGAGAATGAATGATGGATATGACCAGATAGATCGCATCCAGACAAGTCAAGATTCTGCAGTAGAGGAACAGAGTCCGCAATAGCAACGGACCAAGTTGGTCCACTGCTGGAGATGTCCACTTCATTAAGATACAGATCCCTAAGATTGGTCAGGTTTGCTACGAGTGTTTGAAACTGTGGCTCTCGAAGATACAAATAATCATTGTAGGAAATATCAAGCGTAAGCAATTTCTCGAGGTGCGCAATTCCAATAGGTATCTGACCAGACAACCCTGTTTCAGACAACTCGAGACTGAGTAACTCGGTCAGCCGCTCAAACCCGAAACTAGGAAGGCTGGCATGGTTGAAGTCGTTACCAGAGAGGCTTAGGCTTCTAAGAGAGGTGAGGTTGAATAGCGCTGAGCTGAGACCACCGGTGCTCTGCAGGCTACGATAACTTAGGTCCAAAGTGATCACCTGACCAGAGGCCCTGTCGCAGCCAACACCCTCCCAGTGGCAACAGTCCGTACCATGCTGCCACGAGGAGAGGTCGGGGTTGTGGAAGGAGTGCTTCAGCTGAAGTAGAGACAAAGCCTGATCAGGGAGGCACTGGACTGTAATCCCATTGCTGCCTTTGGCTGCGTTGTAGGTGGGGCGGTAGTATGTGAGCAGCAGCAGGATGAAGTGAAGCTGTGGGTGCCTGGAGCTCATCTCACTTCTACTTGTCTGCTTTGCAACTTCAAGCTGGTGCCCAGGACAATATATATAATACAGGGTAGCTGTAGAAATCTTCACACTACATTTCGCTCATTCGTTCCTAGCAGTATGAGTTCATGTTCAATGCCACTACCGTTATGGGGCACTACCATTATGGGGCACTAGCAGTTCAAGTGAAAGTTTGTGCACTACCATTATGGGGCAGCGCACGTTGAGGTGCACACTACTGGTTGCAGTACTGGCAGCAGAATGCTTCGTTGTATTAGAGAGACTTAGACTAATTCAAAGTGTAAAGGACTTGATACCATTGATGAGTCAAGGCCCATTTGTCCATTGATTGTACTGTAGTGCCGTAGCATGTCTCCTTGGAAAAAATATACAGCAGGAGCAAGAGAACGTGGAGGTGTCATTGCTTACTTGTAGTTATTTTGCTAGTAGCTTGTTGCTTCCTCAACGTAAATGTCTACATATACCAAGAATACTAGGCCCGTAAGGGATTTTTTTCCTGAATTTTTTGAACTTTTTTTTACGACTCTTGTCAATTTGACGCGTGTGACTGGGTTAATCCTGTGCATAGCTTTTTTAACTGGTTAAACAATCTTGCACGTTTCTCTCCTCCACCGCTTTGACCGGGCCTTCTGGGCTATTCAATTTACTTGGTACATGCCACGCGTATCTTGTCTGCCCCCGCTTCACACCGTGTGTCCAGTTCTCTCGAGGGCTCTATTCCAGAAATTGCTACATCACAGGTTGCGACTGTCGGTGTACTAGAGTAGGGGTACCACACCGTGCATCCCGAAATTGTGCACGGGCGGTTGCAGCCACCCGTGGCAAGGCTTGCCGGGTGACCGCCAAGGTCCTCCGTGGTTCCTGTGGAGCCATTCAAGAACAAAGTATCCAAGCCAAGGAGACAAGGCCCCGGCTAGAGGAGTTTGCCGGAAAGACCAACCAAGGCATAAGAACAAAGTATTCACGCCAAGGAGACAAGGCCCCGACAAGAGGAGCTTGCCGGGAAGGCCAACCAAGGCATCTTAAAGAACTTGCCGCGACGTGCCACGTGTCCCGGCGAGGCCCGGTTAGCGACAAGCTTCCGTACGCGACAAGACAATGACCGCGGCAAGGCGCTTGCCACGGCAAGTTACCTCTCTGTACCTGCGCTCCAGCACATCCACCAACGTGTCGCCCTAGGGCCTTTCCAGGCACGCGTGGCAAGAGGCTGTGCAGCCAGCGGTGCGCGGTGGCAAGCGGCGCTGACAAGATTGCCATCGTGGCGAGCGGTGCCGTCCCTGACGGTCCCTGTTTGCACTATTTGGGCGACGTAGACGGGCATTTAATGCCTTTGTCCCCTGCCGTCAGGGTTAGGTATGATACACTGTACATGTTGTTGTACCAACCGCAAGTCCTTTTCCATTTTTTGCCCTTGTCTACGTTGCCACCTGTCGGTGACCCCTTTAGCATATAAAAGGAGGCCCATGCGCAACGTAGAGGGGGGTCGAGGTCAGAAAACATTCACGCTCGGTCTTGTTAGCAGCTGGTGTGTACTGTAGCACTCAGCGCTCCCGAGCAAGAACTCAATACACTCAGACATGCAGCAGTAGGAGTATTATCTCTCCGGAGAGCT